AATGCCCCTCGTGAAATTTCTTACAAGGTAGATACTCAGAAGTTAGCCTAGGTGTACCTCTTAGCCTAGGAAAATCATCAATTTTCGTGTTTTTTTTTTTGCGGTTTTTTGCAAATATATCGCGACCTTCAGGACTAGATGAATAGGTTTAGCTGAAAATGCTCTTCGTGCAATTTCATACGAGGTAAGTAACTGAAGAGTTGGCGTAAAGTCACCTTACACCTTCAACTTTCATGTGTGAGGAAATGTTCATTGTAAAACAAAGTATTTCTATGCACCATTTATTCACGTAAATAGTATATTAAGTATGGAGAACGGTAAGGGATTTTTACCGTTCGAAGACAATTGTTTGGAGGAGGAGCGAAGCGACGACTCCAATTATTGTCTGAGAACGGTAACCCTTAACGTTCGACGTGCTTATAACATTTTTTGCGCGATCGAAATTAAAATTATGCAACCAATATAAATATGCACTAAGAAATTAACGAGCAGAATAAATCGAAATGATCGAAGTGGTATGGTGTATATCACTAGGTAACCAGTTTATTTGTCAAAATTGAAGTTAATAATTTCATAAAAATGTGCATGTGTCTGATGTAGTTTACTAGCTTTGAACTTCCTTTATGACTTTATGAGCGTCTTGCTATAGGAAACAACAGCACAAATTGTACGTTTAATGTACCTAACAATAATTAAAGATTAAATGTAATGTAAGACTGTTGATTTTTAAAAAGGCGTCGGTAAGTATTTTTACTCACAATCGGTTAGTATTATCTGAATTCCTAACCTTCATAGCGGTTGCGAAGCGACTCATTACTCACCTTAGCCGGGAAAGTAACTTTCCCGGCTAGCTGTCACTTTCCCGGCTAGCTGTCACTTTCCCGGCTAGCATCTGTCACTTTCCTTACCTGCAAATGCTATTCATATTATCCTTATATGAAACTTATACTAATAGTGACACCGCCAATGTAACCATTAATGTTTACAACAATAGCAAATTACGAAGAAGAACGAAACTATTTGCTATTGTTGTAAACATTAATGGTTACATTGGCGGTGTCACTATTATTGACAGTTAAAGTTAAAGTTAAAAACACCTTGTTGAATTATATACTTTACCTTAAATGATCGATTGTGAGTAAAATAGTATACAAACCTCGCTGGTCAGTGGTTCATAACCAACGCCTCGCGCTTATAGCCTTAAGCCCTCGGCGTAGGTAATGAACCACCTCCCAGCTCGGTATGTAATCTACTATTGCTGTTCTGTTTTTAGATCGGTAAGTAATTTTGACGTCGTCGTAATCATAGCAACTGGTAAATTCTACCTACTGTCATGGAAACACCCATGGTAAATAGTCAGAAATGACCGATCGCGCAAAAACAGTATTTTCATATCAAAATATTCACACATTCATTTATATCTCAACCTAATCATTCTCCTCTGCGGATTCCACTTCTTCAGGCTCTTCGACTTCCTCTAGTGGTAGTGGGGCGTCTGAAATTACCGACTCTAGTTCTCCTCGTCTTCCGCATTGGCATCCTTACCTGCATTGGTACGCTGAAGAGACCACGTGGCATTTAGGCACGATGTTCCATGACACTGGGAGCAGAGTTCGTTACACTTCAGACCTACAACAAGACGCATTGTCAAAAAAAATTATTATAATTATGTATACGAATATAATATTATTTCTCTCACATGAAATAAGTTTGAGGAGACTTTCTTGACGCCTATCACAACGACTTCGGATCCAGCTCCGGAAAGTCTCCTCAAACTTATTTCATGTGGCTATGAACGTGGTTGCATGACTGCTTGCAGTTTCAGTAAATCAGGTAAACCTTCTTCACCGGACACTTAATAGGACACACGAGAGAATATTATATTCGTATACTTAATTATAAAATTTTTTTTGACATAATGCTTCTTGTTGTGGGTCTGAAGTGTAACGAACTCTGCGTCCAATGACATGGAACATCGTGCCTAAATGCCACGTGGTCTCTTCAGAGTACCAATGCAGGTAAAGCGGAAGACGAGGAGAACTACGAGTCGGTAATTTCAGACGACCCACTACCACTAGAGGACGTCGAAGAGCCTGAAGAAATGGAATCCGCACAGGAGAATGATTACGTTGAGATATAAATGAATGTGTGAATATTTTGATATGAAAATACTGTTTTACGTGAATAAATGGTACATAGAAATACTTTGTTTTACAATGAACATTTCCTCACACATGAAAGTTGAAGGTGTAAGGTGACTTTACGCCGACTCTTCAGTTACCTACTTCGTATGAAATTGCACAAAAGGCATTTTCAGCTAAACCTATTTCAGCTAGCCCTGAAGGTCGCGATATATTTGAAAAAAACCGCAAAAAAAAACCATGAAAATTGATGATTGATGAGGCTAACTTCTGAGTATCTAACTTGTAAGAAATTTCACGGGGAGCATTTTCAGCTAAAAATATTTCATCTGGCCCTAAAGGTTGCGATATATTTGCAAAAAGCCACGAAAATTAATGATTTTCGCCTCTTTTATGAATTTCCTAGGCTAAGAGGTACACCTAGGCTAACTTCTGAGTATCTACCTTGTATGAAATTTCACGAGAAATATTTTCAGCAAAAATATTTCATCTACACCTCATAGATCGCGAGATATCAGCCAAAATGAGCGAAAACACGGTTTTTGGGGGGTGGTGGGGTGGCTGGAGCCTTTAGCACAGGGTCTGGGGGGTGGGATTTTTAATATGGTGTTTCGGACACCTAACTGAACATATTCCACCAATTTTTTTCTTTTCCACCCCAAAAGGTCCAGTTAGATGTCTTTATCACCTAGACTAAGTTCACAATTTGTTTAATTAATTTTTTTCTCTCCTACAAAGACAGTTATAGCAAAAAAACTATTTTTCGCTTCTCATGATTTCACACTCTTTCCGTTTATTGCGCTTATAAAACTATAATGTTGCATTGTGATTTTTGATTGTCCAAAACTTAAGCTCTACTTTCGCCTCGACTTTAGCGATCATTTTGAATGATATAAATAAACCCAAAGTGTCAAAGAGCAACTATTTTTTCGGGCAAAGACTATTAATGTGGAACTGCGCTTTTTAGCGTATTTTCCTCAAAGTGAAAAATTGCTATTGGTCGCACTTTGTCGTCCGTCCGCCCGTCCGTCCGTCCGTCACATGTACCCCCTCTATACCATTCTATTCTTACACTATGCTACCAGTTACTGGTGGCTATGTTTCAAATTGGAACTTTTTTTAGAGTGACTCTGGGGGGAGGGGTCTATTGTAAAAGCAAATCAGAATCATCATTAGCAGGTATCTCTTTAAATGTATTAAACATAATGGAAAATTAAAAAAAAATACAAACTAACAATTTGTCCACGAAGTTTTGTTGCATACAGTCGCGAGCGGTAAATAGTGACTGTTTTAAACAATTAGGAAACTTATCCGCTGACCTTTATTGACATCAGTATATCGCAGGCTGAACACTGTAGTAGGTATAGCGGTACCCGAGTGTGGGAAAATTCTGGGGACCGTGGGAAAATATTTCGGCAGTTGGCCCGGGCCAAATTTTGGGCAGTTGGCCCGGACCAAATTTTTGGGCAGTTGGCCCGGGTCAAATTTCAGCAGTTGGCCCGGGTCAAATTTCGGCAATTGGCCCGGGGTCAAATTTCGGCAATTGGCCCGGGGTCAAATTTCGGTAACTGTCCCGGGTCAAATTTCGGCAACTGTCCCAGGTTCAAATTTCGGCAACTGTCCCAGGTTCAAATTTCGGCAATTGGTCCGGGGGTCAAATTTTGGCAATCGTTCCCGGGGGGGCTGCAAGATCAAATTTGGCAATTGGCCCAGCGGGTGCAAAGTCCAATTTTGGCAATTGGTCCGGGGTGTAAGGTCAAATCTTGGCAATTGGTGGTATTTCGGTAGTTGGTCCTGGGTTGTGACCCGGGGTATTTCGGGGATTGGCCCCACTGGGGGGTTATTTTGTGAATTGGTCCGGGAAGATTTAATTTTACTCTTACTTACCTTAATTTGCTCCACAGTCATCAAGGCGATAATCCGTTCAGGTGTCAAATTTTTCTTTATTATATCAAGTAGCTTTATTTTATTTTATGGTTTTATACCGAATATTTCAGTAGTCCATCCGTTTTATGGAAGTCCTAATAATTAGAAATTTGTATCAATTTTGTATTTAGTTATAGTTGGTTGTATAAATAGATTAATACATAGCATGATAATGCATATACATACACATATACATATACAATGTATGACCACCCACAAAAGTAATGATAATCGGATGCTTACTGTTGCTTAGGCAACCAACAATACACTATCTAAACTGGCAATGTTGAAGCGTAAGTTTCCCGGCGGGAATTCGTGTGGGATGGGCCAAGAGATATAGAATGTCTCTAGTTTGCCAAAAAGAAACGCCGATGCAAAGACGACAATACGCGACGCCGTGCGGCCCATCCCACACGAATTCCCACCGGAAAGTTACACTTCAACGTTGCCATTTTAGATAGTGTTAAGTGTATATGGTTGTGCAACACTCTGAATTGGTGTGTCTCTTTTTAATCGATATTAGTTATTTGTTATTGTTATTGTTGGTTGCCTAACTGGCAGTAAGTACCCGATTATCATTATTTTTGTCGATGATCGTATATAGCATTTAAATTGGATTATCTGGCAACGTTGGAATTTTAGCACGACAGAATCCGGGCAGCGGCATTGAATAAAAAATTAAGTATTCAAATCAATGGCAGCGGTTAACAGGGGCGTTATAGTTCTTATTCAATTACTATAATAGATTAGATTTTTCTCAATCGCCACCTGCTAAAGGTAATGCGCGTTCAGTAATTCCGCTGATCTAATCGTTTGTGTAGGAAGCATTCTTCAACTTTTCAACTTGCTGAAAATTAGTTCTAAAGTGTTTCCGTTGTGTATATATTCACCATTGAAACAGAGTATATTATAGTTCAATGATATTCACATGTCCACGTTTTATGACATTTATTTTGAATTGACATTAAATCAAATGGACATGCTAGAAAGACAAAACCACAATAAACTCCTATACAATTATTGAACGCCCATTTTTAGCACTTGCAAAACATGTAAAGAAAGAGGGCAGTGCTATCTCCTATAACATATCTAGTGACTTTACTATAACTATTCCATCGCATGACAATATTTAGATTAACTGCTCTCTCTGAATTTGGACTCCAGTACGATCACAGTATAGCTTTTCTCATGTCTACCTTCTTGTACATGTATAGCGTAACCAATTGTTATGGACATTTTGGTGAGGCCCCAGGTTCTTTCTTCATTGACATACAATGACAAAGTAACTACATAATATGTACACAGAAATGTAATATAATTGATTATAGAAATAGTTAACCAATGTAAGCGTAATAACAATCATGTAAGTGTATGTAAAATAATTACAACCAAAGAAAAACCCTGTTGGTTACTTTTCTTTATTGAGATTTTGTTTTTTCTTAAACCCATCAAACTGCATCCCAAGTAATGGATTTGATTTCTTTTTCTGAAACAAAAAACTTTTAAGATCTAAAAATTCTAGGACAGAAGCGGAATCATTTAATTAACTTATAACTCTAATATATGAATGTCTTTATATCTGATATGGACCAGAAATGATTCGGAGATGGATGTGCCAATAACAATAGGTACCAAATTATCACAAACTTTTGTTGTTCAAAAACTTTTATATAAAAACAAACACGTTAAAATTAATAGCTACTATACAACTTTCCTTAATCACTTCTGTAGTTTTCCCATAATACAAACCTGATATTTTTGAGCAGAGCTTTCTGAAGTTCTATAATGTTCTCGTTTCCTTTTCCCAGCATTATTTGATAAACTCTTGAGAGATTGCGGAACGATATATTCTGGAATATTCGCTAAATGTTGTTGTACCTTGACTGTATGTAGCGCTTTGTCATGCCTCAATGAACGCAAATCATTAGGATTATCTTCAAAGTATGTCTTTAAAAAATGCAAAATTAGTGGATACTTTTCCGAAAGATAAATCATACTTTTAACTTTTGGCAGTTGAATATTTCCTGTTTAATTTCTTTAAGTCGTGCTTCTCTAACCGCGATTCGGGTAACAGCTTTCCAGGCATCTCTTGCTCGATATCTAAAAGCTTCCACTTCCTCTAATTTAAACTGGTACTCCCTACCAAATTGTATCAGTAAAACACATTACATTATCTTGTACTTACTTAATAATTTTTGATTCTGAATGTGTCTTTTGGAGATGCTGCTCAATGCTATCCAGTAAAGGTTTTTCATTTACACTAACAAACGACAACACACTACCCTGCAAGACAAAAATTAAAAAAAGTTAACCTGAATGAAGCTTACCTCATTATTCCCCCTTGCGGTTCTTCCAGCTCTGTGAACGTAAGAAGTAACGTCCAACGGAAAGTCAAAATTAATAACATTCGATACATGTTGAAAATCGATACCACGTGAAACACCACTTTCCTTATCTTTTCGCCTTTTACTCCTCACTTCTTTTTGTTGACTCGCTTTAGTTGAACCTGGTTCCTCTAAAGCCTTCTCATCGGATGCAATTATGATGTCGTAAACATTTTCATTAAACTGGTTAACAGAGTGACATCTAATGGCTGCGGGTAGCTCGGAGTTTAAAACACAGGATCGAATTCCAAATTGCTCCAGATACAATTTAATTCTAATAATAAAGTTCTTTTTATACAGTGCTCTTGGCTGTTATCAAGGGACATAAAACCACTACCCCTGTTTTGTTATCGCTAATCACACAGTCTCTACACTTTTAAAAGACAAAGAAAGAATGTCACTATGTAAATTTGAAGTGTATCATATATTCTTGCCCAGGAAGTGCATTCTTACTTGCGGTGCCCAGTCTAATTTAAATGAATAAGCAATGTGTAAACAATGATGCAGTTGCCAATCATGAGTAGTAGTTGTATGTTCTTAAGCATGTAGATAACTTACTTGTAGCATTTATCCACAGTGTTAACAAAAATTATTGTTTTTCCACGAATTAACTTCAATTTCAGTAGGGCATATAGGATTGATGCCTTATCCATTTCTTCAGCTAATAAATGATAATGTGACAATTGACTTGTTGGTGCTAAATCCGGTTCTTCTAATTTCAATGTAACTGGATTGTGTAAAACTAAGCTTTTTAAGCTTTTTACATCGTCACTTAATGTTGCAGAAGCTAGAATGGCTTGATAGATGTTTGGTAGATATCTGTAACGCACAAGATAACTTTTAAATATATTGCAAGAAGGCAAATATACTAGTACGTATTTGGGTATGGTGTACTATCCTGATTTAGTTGAGGATTTACTTTAAAAGTACTTGAGGCAGAAGGATAATAATGCACAACTTACCCCAACAATTGTTTCACTTCATCCTCGTAACCAAAGGAAAATACTAAATCCGCCTCATCAATCACCACCATTTCAAGAGTATCTTTTAATGACAAATTTCCAGCCCTAATATGCTGCAAAGTGCGAGAAGGAGTCCCTACAATAATGTCCGGTTTTTCAACTAACAACGGCTTTTGAGCTTGTAAATCGACCGAAGGAGATATATCAACAAAATGTACATCGCGTGAACACTTAATCGTCAAATCCTTTATAACGGAACATATTTGGTTGCAAAGTTCCTTGCTGGGAGCCAGAATGAGTGCTTTAATTTCTTGCTCTGTTAGTGTATGTTTCTTGGTTAGGATTTTCTGGATCATGGGAATTGTAAAAGCCGCTGTTTTACCGGACCCTGTGCGAGCTCGAACGAGTACATCCTTTCCTTCCAAAAGCAATGGGATTGCACGTTCTTGTATTAGTGTAGGTGACAACCATCCCAATTTCGCAATGGCCTAATGATCTTTGTTAGTTAAACAAACAGATACAAAGTATATACTAACCTTTAATATTCTGTCATCTAATTCCATCTCATGGAAATTTAAAGATTTATCTACAGCAGAATCATCCATACTTTCCAGCTCTGTGTGGTTATGGTTGTTTATAAATGTGATTTTTAAAAGGAGTAAGGTTATGTACAAAGAAAGAATAGGTTAGTTTTACTTGAAAAGTGACGATCGTCTAAGGCTACGTTCAGACAGGGCTCTATCGCGCAATCATTCAAAGGCGCAATGCAGAGTTAATAGAGAGAATAGGTTGCCTCGTAACTTTCAGCAAATAAACGTTCACTATTAAAATACGCGAATGACGTCACCCGGAATCCCACTTTGTCCACATCATAAAAATTAATTATTAACGCAACAACAACAGAACAAGTTAAAAAAATGCAAAATGGATCGAAATGGTACTTTACACGGATGTTCTGAAAAGTCCTTGCATTGCATTGTAAGAAACATGCTAGCGAAATATTATAAACACTATTAAAATATATGAATAGTTTATTTATTTATTGTCCCTCTCTTATTATGGGCCCTCAACAGGCTTTCGCCCAGTTACAGAGTGATCCGCATAAAGCTAATTTAGGAGGTGTCACTGCAGATGGTCTTAAGTTGATGTATAAGAGTACTAATAAGAGTATGGTCATTGGTCTGCTATTCCCGTGAACGAAATCTCGCACAAGTCGCGCATGACGTCACGCGGTTGTGTACACTGAAATATTGTACACGCGCATATGAATAAATATGTGCTAATATTTCGATATTCCATTCCATATGTGATAAATACGATTATATAGCTATATTACTTTATTACAATGGTCCATTGTGTGGTGTTTGGTTGCAATAATAACAATAGAAAAACTAAATACAAGTTCTTATAGATTTCCAAAACATGTTGCTTTTCAGCGGGGTATAATTGTATCGGCATCTGATTGATGGCTACACCTTCACTCAACGATCTAACCTAACCGATGTTAATAACACCTAATAAATAGGTAGATAGGTACGATACGGAATATGTTTTGACACTGTTGGTAAATATATCTTCCATAGGGCCAGCGAATGCTGCTTTGCTCAGCCATTAGAAAACTTGACGGAAATTAATACGTGTTTAACGGGCTAACATTGCAAGAAGGTATTGCTGAAATACCTACCTTCATTTTGCTCAAGAAACAACGAACATTCATAAAGAGGGTTCGCTTTATATGACTGCTTACGTTGCATACAAATTCAAAACGAAATACCGATTCTTAGGCGAAACGTAGCCTACCGATAGGTAGGCTACGGGCGAAATCGCCGAATTTGAAATAGGCGATAATTGGATTATTTTATATCTGAACGGGATTTAAAAAGCCAACAAATTATTTTGCTGTTATTGAAAGTAATAAACTTAATGCATCATGTGATAAGACATTGATACCTAACGACGCTTTCGACCACTTAGTTAAAGCAAAGAGCATATAATATAACGATACTCTTTGAACTTTGGAGTAAGGACGTATATATAAGAATTCGGAAACTAAATAAAAAAAATGAGCGGAACTGCTGCAGAAAGACGAGTAATCAATGAAAAACCTCATGTTTACAGTCTGAATTGATGTGTTTTGTACCTACATATTTTATTACATTAAATCCTAATAATTTTCTACTTTGTTTTTGTAATACAACACAGTTTGTTACGTATATATATGCAGATAAGCTCTAATTAGGTGTAAGCACTTTATGAATGAAAACTTTTCACCGTAATTGTTAGGCTTTCTTACTTATTCTTATGGGAGTCTTGCCGGCACCAGTTCGTTTCACAACCGCGTGACGTCAACGCCAGCCGACTAATGCACTATGCGCAATAGCAGACCATACTCTTATTAGGCCATGCATGCACTCATCGCATCGCAAAGCATCCGGCACGCAAGGATTTTTTCCTTAAGCATGCTCCCGAGTCCTCGTGCTCTACCGAGTCTTTACGCTTTACCGAGTCCTATAGAGCGCATGCGTTCGGCGCTACACCTGACAATTTACTTACGTTGCTCATTTACAAAAACCAAGTTAAGTTAAGTTTAATAGTTGAGTGAAGATGAAGATGGCGAAACGACAAGGAAATGGTTTTTCACACAATCACAATACTAACAACAACTTAAGCAAATGTTACAAGCAATAATTTCTAAGGGTTTTTATAATGTAGGTGTCGTAGTCTTTTAGTGAAATCCGTCATTTCACGAAACGCCTAGTCCGAGGCCTAGTCATTTAGTGAAACGCTGAAAATTTGTACGTGTGGGGTAATTTCCCTTCCCCTTCTAGATCGATAAGGATACCATTATTATCGATTTCCAATGGGAACGGAATCCAATCGCTTGGCCCTGGAAAGTACACTGTGCCACAGTTTCATATAAATGACTAGGCGTTTCGTGAAATGACGGATTTCACTAAAAGACTACGACATAGGCATTATGAAATGATGCGTTGTGTTGTGTACATTTCAGGTATGTAGGTGTAATTAACCCCCAATATATTACTTATTATATTCATCAATATACCTACAGTGTAGTTGGTTTTTGTAAGGTCTTCAAACTTCCCTTTCCACATTTCGAAGTCACTCGCTTCACATTCTACCTCTAACTTGAACTCCATAACTGCATCATCAATTGTTTTCACAATTTTAATCGAATACGTAAATTCTTTCGGAATAAACTATTGAAAAAAACGGATAGATACCTATTGGTAATATTTAATTTTCTAGGAATATAATAAACACTGGTACTTGCCTGTTTAACTAAATCTTCCATATTCAAATCAAAAACTAAATACGAGTGAATTCTAATAAATTACTGACAATCAAAGACCACGTTTTCCCGCCACTACACAACAATACAAAACGAACACACATGGGCAAAACCGCAAAGTACGCAACCGTTCTATAGGACTCGGTAAAGCATAAAGACTCGGTAGAGCACGAGGACTCGGGAGGATGCTTAAGGAAAAAATCCTTGCATCCGGCACTCGGCAGGCACGGATTTGCATCTTCCCGAGTCCTCGTGCTCTACCGAGTCTTTACGTTTTACCGAGTCCTATACAGCGCATGCGTTGGGTGGGTGCTACAGCTGATTTTATCTATTTACGTTGTTCGTTTACAAACAACTGTAAGGAGTGTTTAAATCTGTGCTATAAATATAAGTCGGTTCAGCCGGCTGCCCCAGGCTCGGGAGGATGGTTATAAGGAAAAAATCCCTGCTTCCAGAACTTGTTGCCTTAGATCATACATAGGTACGTATAATGTGATCTAAGCAAGAATACGCGCGTCCTAGAGTAGCATGCGCTTTTTACATTTGCTCTAAGCTTTTTGCACTGTGCTGTGGCAACACTGCTGCGCTTTGGCATTTGAGTGTTCAAAACAAAATACCAATGAATAAAGAAAAAGGTTAAGTCAAGTTCGACTTTTTAAAATATCTGCAAAAAAAATGATAGTTTGCTATTTTTGAAACAAAAGCAAGAAAAACGAGTATTCATCGGTTAGTACATTTTTAGGCTTGGAATGTATGGAAAATTTTGTTTCTGTTTTGCTTTTCTTTGGAAACACTGAAAAATATATGTCCTGTAGTAACACAAAATAATGTTTTGTACCTACAACATAAACATTACATTGCAAGCAATCTAATTATTTTTCTGCGGCTTTTTCGTTTTGCTCTCAGGGTCTTGTCGATTTTTACTATTTTTAAAGAAATTTCTCATGATGCTGCAAATTTCCGCCACCAAGCAATAACACGCGTTTATTTGCTTTGCACGAAAGATCGAGTCATAGCCGCTAAGCAGTCGAATTCGAAACTACCGTACCGAGAATGATAACACGCGGTCCGAAAGCGAAACAGAACCAGGATACAATAATTTCAACTTACTTTTGCTGGGGCCAGTTCTTCATCTTGATAAATTTTTTAGGGCAAATAAGTCCCTTGACAACGATTGTATCAACGGTATCGTATCTATGTAATTTATTCGAAGAGTAAAGTTATTAAAGGATCTAGGCCTTCGGTCATTAAAAATTCAAATTTTTTGTTCCGCGTGACGTCATACGCGGACTAGACGAATTTAGAACGGCAATCTAGCATTACCTTCTTTTTCATTATTTCATAAACAAAAACAAAACGATTTGCCGAGAAACGCGCTGCGCTATTATTAGAAGATTCTCCGCGGTGTTGCCACATTCGTATACCTTTCTTTATTCATCACGGACACAAGAATTAATGATTTCTAACAACAAAATATTCACAAATTTAAAATTTTAATTAAATAGCGTCGTTTACCGATAAATTAGAATTACATTGTCGAAAACTGCATGTAAATCGAATTAAAAGTAACGAAGATACAGCGAAATTCGCACATCATTGGGGTATCCAATCCTCTTAAGCTGTTTAATTTCAACTTATAAGTAATTGTTTCGTTTTCACAACTTTTATAAATATTTAAAAATCCATTTAGATCCTAACTTAAAATTCATATAACTACTATCAAGTTGATAGTATCAACATTAAGAATAACGAGCTGCTCTGACAAATTGGTGAACAATCTATTATAAAAACCATAAAACTGTTTAGGAAGGAACTGTTAAAGCATATGCATTTAAAAAACTAGTTTTTGTTGCAAGATTGTTAAATGTTAGGTATGCATTTATAACCAATATAATCTTCCCAGGAATTTTTCAAATTCTTCACAAATTGTAGTTATAGTACAGGCGGTAAGTGCATCGGTCTAAACATTTTGGGGGGGAAAGCTGGATTTTGTTGAAATGTCTCAGGTTAGGTGTCTCGAATAACGTACTAAAAGTCCAGACCCCCAACTGCGCCGCTCATCGAGCTGTGGCACGTTTTTGTCCCCCGAAATCAGTTTTTCGTTAATATCTCGAAATGTAGCAGGCTTAGAGAAAAACTTTTGAAACAAAAAATGTTCCTCGTAAAATTTCCTACACGATAGCTTACTTGCAAGTTAGTCCAGGCCTAACCGATAGCCTACAGCGTTCGTTTGAGTAGTCTAATATTGAGTTCTTTGATGATTTTTTGTACTTATGGTTGTATGGACGCCTAAATTGATGAAAGACGTACTTCTCACTTATTGTACCATAGGATAGCCGATTTGAACGTTAATTTAAGAAATTTCATCAACATTCTGTTTCCTCTCCATTTTTGCACCTGATGAAAGCATCGGTAGGCGTGGAGACTGAATGCAGCGGCAGTAGGCGACGCTCAACGTATGAGACGTACTTCTGACATGTTACCTTGTATGTCTCCCCTCGCTCCCACAGAATTTTACGAAGCAGGAAGCCACCATCAATAACGTAAGTTGACTTAGTTTTATCATATTGA